CTCTCTCTCTCTCTATATATATATATATATATATATATATATCAAGTTTTTACTATCTATTGTTTTATTAACTCTTAATTTTTCGAAGGATTTGTTTTATGCAATGTCTAAATTTTCTAAAGTTCATATTTTTATTTATTTTAACACTTGAAAACGAATGTAGCAAGAATCAGAATCTAGAGCAAATTGTTTTATAAGGCCCAATTTTACTGTAGTGGAGGAAAGAATACCTTCCGGGTGTCCAACAGTGGCTCCCATTTGACATTGTTCCCTCTCACACTGAACTCAGTCCGTTGTAGCCAGTCTCGTCTGTTGTAGTGTACTGCAGTGCCCTTTGCTGTCCAAAAGACAAAGATAACCCGAAAATTTGGTAAAACCGCTTTGGAAACCTATCAGGAAGGGCCACCATTTTGAAATTTCGGATTACCTCTCAACCGTACTCTTCATATTTTAAGGCATCGAGCAAGATCTTGACACTTTTGCATTCCTGTTTGAGCTGAACCTAATGAGCCAGGGGAAGAGATGGATATATGTTCTCGTTCATTAAGCATCACAGCTTTGAGGATTCTGGATGAGATGTCGATGAAGAGTCGACACTTGCTGGAGTTTCAGCTGAATCCACTTACCGCGAACAGACAGGTCTCATTGTGGAAAAAAGCAAAGCCCATCTTGACGAATGAAAAAAGTTTGTAAAATACAGTCAAGTTTTCTCTGACTTGCGACTTGCACACTTCCATCGAACAAATTTCATCGCTTGTGTCTCGGCATCAAAAGCTTCGCATTAGGCTTTGTGAGAGCAAGATCTTTGAGCACATCGTTGAGGAGGGGGATTTTTGTTTGGGGTTGTATGAATTTCTCCTCGGCCACACCTCTAGAATCTGGATCAATGAAGAGAGAACAGTCGTCTTCTGAAGACGGCTGTTCTCTTTTGGAGGAGTCGGTATGGGGTGCCCAGGGCAATGTGGCACTCGGGCGATGGCTGACAAAATGTTTGGATATATTGCATTCTTGACGTTTGGAAGGGTCTACCATACAGAAGAAACAAGTGGTCAGTTGGTTCCCTCCAAATTCTTGGGATTGCTAATTTCATGACTCTGTTTTCTCCTCTGTACCATATTGCAAAAGCTCCCCCCAAAAAAAAAAGTATGAGCATAAAAATATAGATATATTTCACCCGAAAATCGTGCGCTGGATATGTAAAATTTTGACTTTGGACCCAAGTTAATGCCACAAGAATATGGAATCTATAATATTCCGTATTTTAATGTTTCTTGCCAGTGATCCAATATAGAAAACATTTATGATACTGTGGGAACTAATGAGCGATTGTTGAAACCTATTTAATACATATTTTTCAATAACACCGGTAAAAGAAATAAATAAACGTTAAAATAGTTAAATGAAAAAAAATTCAAAATATTAACACTTAAAACTTCCACAACCCAAACAAGTAAACATTCTGTCTTACCTTCTATAGTTCTTCTGCAGAGATCGCAAGTGAAATGAAGTACCCGGGGTTTGTCTTGATCCTCAACAGGAATTCCAAAATATGTCTTGTATTCTCACCCATTTTAGCAGCTGTTACCACAGAGTACTTTTACCGTCTTGTTTTGATGAATTCACCACAGAAATAACAAAATCCCTCTGCGGATTCTTATAAACTCTTGCCACCATCTAAGACGAATGCATTTATTAACGACGATTTCTCTGCTCGTAGACAGCTAGAAGTAAACTGAACTGTTGAGCTTACTTTCCCTTTTTTTATACTTCCATCTATGATGTCATGATGTTCTAGAAATTCTTGTAACTTTTAGAAACTTCTCGAAATTTCTAGAAAATTCTTCATCTACTCAGCGCTGAAACTATCTGTTAGGTGACGATAATTTATTTCTATAAAGGACGATAACTCAAAATACAGTTGGGTTACTTCCCTTATCTGGAAGACAAACGCGACACTCCCGAATTAAGCATAGTGACAAGCCATGTGGAATTCATGGTTTCAATCTAAAAAAAATCCTTGCTGTTTGCAGACAGTAAATGAATAAAGTTGTTTTATTATACGTTAAAATACATTTCTTTTTGTTTTTTATTTTCATTCATTTTTGTTCATCCCAACTACCTGAGATATAACACTATCTGAAATATAATGGAAAATAGGTTAGTTTTAAAACATCGAAGTTTAGGTTATAAAAGCAAAGTTTGAAGGGAATAATAGTCTTTTCTTTTACATTCTAGACAGAAGCAATTAGGAAATAACTCTTATTAACTAAAGTCAAGAAGGCAACATTTTGTTACGCAGTGTTATTTATTTCATGCCAAAAAAGAGAAATTAATATGAATGAAAAGTAAAGAAAAAAATAAGAAGGTAGAGAAAAGAGAAATAATATTAAAAGAAAAAAAAAACGAATGAATGAATGACGATAAAAAAAAAGAATACCGATTAAAGAATGGATGAAAGAAAGTAAACTAGGAAACTATAACAAGAAAAGAAAAAAAAAGAAAGATTAACGAATAAAGAAAGAAAGAATCAAGCAAACAAAGAAAGAAAAAAGCTATAACAAGTAAAGAAATTAATATAAACGAGTAAAAGGGGAAAAAGAAAGAAATTATAAAAATTAGAGTGAAGAATTAAAACAAAAAAAGAAAGAAAACAGAAAGAAAGACGGAAGGAAACTCAATACTTTGAATTATTCAAAAGCAAAAAAATTATAAACCTTATGTTTGTTTCACATTTCTTTGCGAAAGAAAAAAGTTATGATTTCATACCATATTGTTTGTTATGGAAAAAAGTAAAAAAAAAACGCTATTTCTATATACAAAATAAAATATTTACATCACAAACCCTGACGTGCCAAAACAGGGATAAATAATTTGATATAATTTTAAAACTTTTCTGTGTAAAAATGTTTTGAATTTGTATATTTTGTGTATCATATTATGTACATATCAACATACGCCCTCGTTATAATTAAAGCAAATAAACGCCACTACCAGTTTTTAAAAGTTATCAAAAATTAGAGAATTTTCCGTACTGATTTATTGATGAATGAAATTTGTTAATCTCAAACAAATAATCCTACCAGTGATCACAGAATTAAAATACTCTGCCAAAATATCACGTTTCCAAATTTTATAAAAAATTTGAAAGTTGGATTTTGTAGCCGTTGCAGAGAATTTGTTTTGACATCGAAAGATTCGTTAACGTTCCTTTGGAAACTGTACAAGAGGCACGTTGTGTTTTTCCGGGCATGAAATGTGTTGGTCGCCCAGTGATTATTTTAACACTTGATTTATCTTTGTTCATTGAAGTAAAGCTAATTAAAATCTCTCACAGCTTCTCTTCAGCGTTTCTCTAACACCGCCGGTCCAGTGATATCATTTCACCTGTTTACTGAGCTGTTGGATTCATTTTTAACAATACTTGGCTTTCTATTATGTCCGTTCAATTTTAAAAAATATTTCTTTCCTCATGCAAATTTATGAAAAAAGTAGACGATATTTATTGAGTTGACACGCAACCTGTGACATGTATGAAGGATTATAAAGAAGATTCTGTTTTTTAATTAATTATTGATGGAACCATTTAGTATTGGATATATTTCCCAGTCAGATTGTTTTAGTTCAACTCAAAACCGTCTCGCCTTTAAAGTTATAGAAAATTCTAGAAAGTTCTTATAAAACATGAAAATATCAATCTTCTATATAAATAAACGGTAAATTATGCCTATCCGGCTGTGTCTGTAACCCCACTAACTCGGGCCACACTTAACTTTTCGGGTGATCCCGGAATTGAAAATCTTCTCTTCATCTGGTGCTTGAACATCCAGCATTAGGATTTATGTCCGGATGAGGAGAGAACACTTAAAAATTCAAATTTACAAAAAAAATAGTGATTTTAAAAGTGTTTAATTTATATTTAGTTTAAAGTGACACAAAAACTTTGTGAATTTAAAGATTTTTGTTTTAAATTCAGTTTAAAATATCTCACAAACTTTATGAATAGAGGAAACCAATTTTATTTCTTCAAAACACCAAGGAATCAGAGTTAAAATAAGAGGTTTTGTGACGTGAGGTTTTGAAGTTTCGCAGAGTTTGCTGAATTAAAGGAAGTAACTCAATGGAAGTTCCATAGAATTTGTGATCTGAAGAACTCAATTTTCGATCTGAATTGGAATTTCGGCCCAAAGCGGACTTTTGGCCCAAATCAATTTTTTCATCGGAATTGGACTTATAGTCAAGAGTTAAAGTGTGGTTTTGAATTCCATGGATTGAACAATTTTAACCCTTCTGCCTGAGTTCCTGAATCAAAATTCGCAAATAGTTGATATGTAATGTTACACGGTAGATATAAAAATAGTTACAAGTGTTTACCAACCGTTCAACCAGTAGTTGAGATCTAAGTAAATTTTCTCTACCACTGTTCATCTATCACTGGCTAGACATTACATCATTTTTCTCTACAATGTGTAAAGTGGTGATCAGGGCTGAAAGGGTTAAGCTAGTATCAAATAACGCGGAAAGACGCGATACGTATTTGAAGACTCTTTTTAGCTTGAAAAATCCATCCCCTTTTATGCATTGCTTTTAGTGAACGTGAATACAGTGGTCGACAAAATCATAGGCACGGTTCAATAATAAGTAATTTAGTGGATGTCATGAAATTTTTAACTTGGTAAATAAAAGGAAAAGGCGATATTTTTATAATATTTATTTAATTTTTAATATATATTTGTAATATTTATGTTACTCCAAATGCATTGAATCGAACAATAAATTTTAGAAAATTATTTAAAGAAAACCCAAATAAGCAAGCAAGAAAAGTTTTTCTAAGGGCAAAATTATTGGAACAATTACAAATTTCTCGTTTTAAAATATGAAAAATATGAAAATTCATTTATTAAATGTATTTTGAATAATATATAATTTTTAGAAAATTCTCTGCAAAACACTTTTAGACTTTGTAGAGCAAAAATTTACCTGCAGTTCATATTTGTCTGGATTACGACCATATCACGCTGAAAAATCGGTTCCCGTACGATCACTGAAGTTAAGCAACATCGAGCATGGTCAATACCTAGATGGGCGGCCGCTTGGGATTTTATTCCATCTAGGTACTGTAAGCTAATTGAAAGGTACTGTTAGCTAATTGAAAGGTACTGTTAGCTAATTGAAAGGTACTGTAAGCTAATTGAAAAGTACTGTTAGCTAATTGAAAGGTACTGTAAGCTAATTGAAAAGTACTGTTAGCTAATTGAAAGGTACTGTAAGCTAATTGAAAGGTACTGTTAGCTAATTGAAAGGTACTGTAAGCTAATTGAAAAGTACTGTAAGCTAATCCTTAATCGTAGAGTCGAGTTCTAATTCCCGTTTGCTTCGTTATATTCGCTTACGCATAAATACCCTTGGAAGATGGTATACATCCACTTCTTCTCCCTCGGCTTAATTACTAAGACTTAGATCACAAAACCATTATTATCTCAAAAAAAAAAAAATAATTCTGACTTTAAATAATCTGCAATGGGTTGATAAACCGTGGAAAAAGAATCAATCAATCAGATTTGTCTGCCATGAATGCAACAACTGCCATGAATGCAACAACTGCCAAGAATGCAACAGAATTTGTGATCTGAAGAACTCAGTTTTCGATTTGAATTGGAATTTCGTCTCAAAGCGAACCTATAGCCAAGAGTTAAAGTGAGGGTTTGAAGTTTCATGGATTGAATTGAAGAATTCAAAGTTATTTCTTCAAAATTATCATTGCTGGTTTCTAAGCTGAGTCCTTTAGTTTTAATCTGGAGACCCAATTAGTCCTACGCAGGAGCTAGCTTAAAAGTTCACACGGAATGCGGTTTTTAACCCTTTCAACCCCGCGTTCCTGAACAATTTTAACCCTTTTAAAGAACATAATTTAGCACTGAGAAATGAAGTCATAAATGCTCATAAGAAAGGTAAATGGCATAACAAAATTGTCAGTAACTATCATTTTCCTACGTGCCGCTTAGAATTTAGAGTTTAGACACTAGCATTGTAGGAAACATAGAAGTAGAAGATAGTTACAAAACGAGGAGAAAATAGGAGAGTAAGGATGACACAGAATAACCTTAGAGGGGACACATGTAGGAATCCTTCTACTCGGTCTGTTAAAATTTGAAGTGTCGGGATTCGATACATTAACAAAGTATCGTTACATGGTCGCTCGTAATTTGGCCGTCGAGAATAATCATACGATTTTCATTGAATGAATAAAATTCAGGAGAAAAGACAACGTAGTTTCAACAAATAAACATTAATTTAATATAACGACAAGAATACAAGCAGTTGGTCATAGATTGGAAAGTAATGTCTTTTTGTTTGGTTTAATAAAGTTCTGAAATAAAATATAAACTCTCTTTGTGTACGTATGTGAGAAACAATAAAATGTTGTGATATGTGTGTTTGTATGAAAAAATCAACATGTGTGTGCGTGATTCATAGTAAAACGGATACAAGAGATAGAAATTATCTCTTACTGTTGGAGGTGTTGTCGTAGTCTGAAGTTTGTCAACGCTGTCGCTTTTAGCATGAGCTCGTGAAGATCATAAGCGAGAGTTGCATGGAGTTTGGTGACAGCCGCGTGTATCCTGTTTGGGAACGGATTTCGTATGTTTTTATACACTTTTTCGTAACAAAATCGGCTCCAGAATTAAATTATTTATTTATTCCTAATTGGCCCTAAAAGGGTACATGGTATGCCTTCTACTACGTCCGTAAGATATTTGGTCGGTATCTACCTAAACATAATGATGACTAATACAACAAACATTATGATTTTATTGCTGTTTTAAGATGTAAGCGTCTTCTTGAGTGTGATTGGTTTATAAATATTGTATTTGATATTTTAGTGGACACGACACACGTAACAAATAATTAATGAATGCTAACGGCGAGTAGAATTCTAGAAGACTTTGAATATATTTTTAAATTACGGATGATTCAAAAATAAAATTATTTGGACGGCGTATCACATATTTGGCTGACAAGTGTTAAAACGCATTTGCCAAAAACCGTTGTCTTTAAATTGAATCATAGTAGTTTTAATTTCAATGTTTGGTTAAGGTAGATGACATCACAAACAAAGAGCAATAGATTGATATTTTTGAGTCACAACTTTAAGGAATCTGCAAGAGGATTAATTCTAGGACATCGTTGGACTTTCATGTAGAATAGTTGTCCTAAGCATTTAGAGAAAGCATGCTTGGAGACAAAATAGGATTAATGTCATAACATGAATCCAATTTATAGAGACAGTTGTAGACAAGTATGAATTGAAAGCATCTCTAAGAACTAAATAAAGATGGGTCAAAGAAAAATTACAAGAAACGATTAAAGAAATGTAGGCAGTTTTAAAAATTGGACAACAGAAAGAACACTTATAATTAGAATCAGGAAAAATAGCTGACATACCTTATATGCATAATGCAAAATGAGTTCTTGAGAAACTTAAACTTCACGGGATCTAATGAGCGGAAGAGAGATAGGGGAGGGCATCGAATTTTTGTGAATGGATGACAAAAAAAAATAGGAAGTTGTGGAGACCCATGTTTACTTATGTTCTGAAGGGACACTGCGCAGAGAAAAAGAAGATCGCTTTTTTAAGGATACATTATTGATTATTAATTAAATGCGCCAATAATTTTGCAATTACTATTTTTTTGATATTTCATTATTTCGGATACATTTAAATAATTGCCAAAGCTTTTTGTTGGAGTCAATGCATTCAGAGTAAATTTATAAAACATATTGCTATTTATTTTTATATAGCAGGTTAAATTTTAATTACAGCCGAAAAAAGCTTTTATTGAACAAAGCCAGTATTTTGGGCGATTGATTAACACAAAATTAATGATAAATTCCAGAAAGATATTACAACGGGCAGTTAGCATCTATATTATTGATTCCCAAGTTTTAAAAATGCTAAAATAGATTTTGTGTTTTCTATACTGTTATATAGGAATAAAGTGACGCTGCCGACACTTGAGTTTGAACATAGATCGCCAGTGAGCTAACATAAGCGATCCCATTATTGAATTAAGTAGACCACGTGACCATAGAGGAAACATATAAGTAGAAAGTAATGTGACGTCCAAACGATCACCATTTCTAGTTTATCCTCTATTACTATACGTATCACTATCTCTACTCTATCTTCAATTACTTTACGGACCGCTATTCTCTACTCTATTCACTATACTATTTCTCTATTCTTTGGTTACTATTCCAGCAAGTATTAACGAGCAAGTACTATTAGTGCGAGTGTTATTCGAAGGCGTCTGACACCAGCATTGTTCAACGGCGTACTAAGTTGTATCGGCGATAACAAAGTCTCTACTACAACGAGTATTACGAAAGTGACAACGAGTATTCGTTGACATCACAAAATTAGCAACGAGTGTTCGTTGACATCTCAAAATATACATATCGTTAAGTGAAGAAAGAGTATATATTGTCCTCTATAAAATTTAATCTTATTGTTTTAAAGAATGGCTATATATAAGTGTTTTAGAAATATTAAATAATTATAAAGTCGCCGAATCTTATTCAAAAAGCTATACATATTCGTTATTTGATTCATTTATCTTTGTCAGCTGCATGTCAATCTTATTTTACGCACATATTATCATTTTGTACTCATCTTATGGCCACACATCTAGAAAACCTGGCTAGTTATAAGTACTTATCATTAATGATTCTACATCGTCTCATTGGAGATAAATGCTCTCTACTCTGACACCTGTATTATTCTTGCCGTTTTTTCATGTCTAAGAATTTTTGCCTCGCGTTTCACGGCTGACAATCTTTACAGATTCAACCGGAGTGATTCAAAATTAAAAACTCAAATATTTTAGCACGAATATAATTATATACTGGCTGTTCAATCAATGATATTGTTTAATGGAAAGGCGAATGTGCACGCTTGAGTGAAAGGAAGGTTTTTTCATATGGAAAAGATTGACACTTTCATAGTAGTTTTCATATTTGGAACAGAGCACAACTAAAATTTCTTCACTACGAGAATAAAAGAAATTTAGATTAAACAAAACGAACAAATAAGATTTTTATTAGAAAGCAATGAAAGAAAACACAAGTACGTCTTCTTCGTTAATATTTGTCTGCTGTTATATCTTCAGTTAATATGGCTGTTAAATTAGAAAAAAAGGCGAAAATAAAATTAACCAAAAAAGAGTTAAAGTTGATTTCGAGATCAGTTTTTGTTTAACATCTTCGAATTGCTTTTAATCAAATATTCAAATGACATTTTTCCTCCGTGTTTGATATTTTCTCGTTAAAGTTTCAGAATCAATTGAGTCTAATTGAATACATTTCAACCTAAAATGTGTAATCTGGGAAAAACAAATATAAATATCAACTTTGAATTCACATTTCAAATCATTACACAGATGCAAAAGTTCGGAGCATCAACTTTAGTACAACACGAGAGAAATCAGTATCAGTTTATATCTCTGAGATGAGGTATTTTGATTACTTGCATTATTTATATTACTCAGACTGTAACCCTCATTTTCATTGCCATATTTACAACGTTTCGGCCGTTTTACGCTCCGGCCTTTTTCCAGTGATTCGAACCGAACATTTTATTTTGTCCACCGGGGTGAGAGAGAATTTCTGTTCATCCAAACTTTGTTACAACGTTCTTGTAACATTGTGTAGCACTGTAGTTTAAAGATTGCACTGGTAAATTATAATATAAGAATACTTTTTCTGCACTTAACAGTATACAGAGAAAGTACAAAATTTATTTTGGTATTTTTAAAAATTCTAAATCAATAATTTAGATGACTGCACTTTCTAATATATTTCTGGAATTTATCACCCATTTTCTGTCAATGTAACATTAAACGGCAACGTTAGCTTGTAACACTATGAGCACATTACACGTTATTGTTGCGAGCGCGTTACAAGTTAACGTTGTGGGAACGTTCTGTGGTATCTACAAAACACATTAATGCAACGTTTATGCAACGCTCAGAAACATTATAGCAACGCCCTTTTGTTAGCTTGGAATTATCTTTAAACGTTAAACATGTGAAAATGGTTATTAGGTGACATCTAGCAATCACTTTCACCTGTTGTTATCAAGAATTGTGGCTTCTAATTCAAATTCTGTTACTAATCCCAATGACTTAAACTTGGCTTTAGAATAAAAGCGATGCTGCAAAATGCAAATACTATTAAATTATTTAACCTATTTATACATAACTCCACAGCGTACTCCGTAACAATTCAGGAATTTCAAACAGAAAACTCTATTTGATCGACGTCGTATATTCTCATATTTTCGTTAGCCTAATGAAAGGTTCATTTTTAAAAATATTTTTGGAGATTACCTGGGGAAAGCTGAAAAGGATAACGATCTGGACAGAAATAGAAAAGGAGAATTTGGTAGAAAAGAATCATTTTATAAAAATTTGCTTACGATTTTACCATTGGCTTTTTGAAAAATAAAGTGTTTTTTCCTCTTGTTTCTTTTAGACGGGTTGCACATTTTGCACATCTATAACTTTACTAGCCAAAGATCTTTCGCTGTAAATCTACGTCGGTATTGGGACAAATTTGATTTATTCAATAACTTGTCGGTGATATACATGAAAAGAAAATGCCGGTAGTTTTTATTTTTGATCGAGTTTCGAGAAAATATTATAATGCACATTTCTCGGATGCAAATTCAATATGCCGTTAATAATTTGAAGCTGCGATTAGCACTATCTATCTATCTATCTATCTATCTATCTATCTATCTATCTATCTATCTAAGGACATTTTTTCGCATAAGCGAGTACTTGGCGACATAAACCTTTGCAATATATTTGATAGTATTCGTGTTAAAACTTTTTTTGCTATTAGAAAGTTCTCAACAACTTAGTCTCTAAGTCTATGCGCACATGTGCAAGATATTTCAACATAATTTAATATTTAACAGAGAAAAACCTTTGAAACACTTTAGTCAAGCAAAGGATTTATGAAGAAATCATAAACCCTAAAGAATTTGAAACATAACACATTGAACAAAATTCTATGATTTAAGTTATTTAATATTCTATTAAATACATTTAAAATGGAACTTTTCTTTTGTCTTTTGAGCTATCATTAGCGCTTACCAGAGAGATTATTCTTTTAATTATTGCTTTACGACTGGCATTTATATCTGATATAGAGTCAATGATATATTATTCTCTTATATTATTTTAGTGTTTAAACGGTAATGCTAAAATAATAGAGTTTTGAATATTTTGAAAGTGATATATTTGTCCTACTTACAAAAACTTGCGTCTTTGGATTTTCACTTATTTCGATGTATACAAAAGTTCTCTGTGTACTTCGATTTGGTATAATGGTGAAACAAGCTTGATTCGCTAGATCAATTACGACTGAGTAGTGAGTTAGATCCTCAGTGGTTGCTCTACAATTTTAGCCTTGTTCCACATCTAAGCTATGCTTAGAAAATCATTTGTGCACTTCGACTCGCTGTAATGGTTAGTAAGCTTGTCACGCTAGATCAATTACGACTGAATATTAAGTTCGATCCTCATTGGGTGCACTATACTTACAGCCTTTTCCTACAACTAAGCTAAGCTTAGTAAATCATTCACACTTTTTATAGAGTCAATGTTATATATATTATATTATTTTAGGGAATAAATTACGACAAAATGGACGAAGTTTTCGTGTGACGCATTTAAGTTTTTGGGGACATCATCAGACTAAAGTGATGTTTACCTTGATGCGACTACACATGCACACGAATAAAAGGGGATGCTGGGCTACAAGTCAAAATTTGTATTAAATATAAGCTTTGGGTATAAAGCCTCGGTGATTTCATTTAGTCTCTTTTCATTTTTGTTAAGGTTCCCATTGCTTTTATTATTAAATAACACACATTGTGATAATAGAAGATCTGACAAGAAAGGTTCCTATTCATAATAACAATCCCATCCACTTTGTCCAAGCAGGTAATGTGGATTTCCTTATATTTTGCTAGGTTTCTTAGCGCTTGTAATGGTCTCTCTGGTAAATTTCTTTCGTTGTTCGTTTCTAGAGTGACAGTAATTATTCCTTGAATTAAACTTTCGATTAAACCTGTGTCGTTGTGTCTGATTTTTAACTATTTTAGTCAACTTAGTCTCTTTTATGAATGCAAATTTTAAACGAAAGCTAAAGGCTTCCAGTTCGGTGGGAGATATATTTATATCCTGTAGATTTTCTATTAAGTCTAGTTTTTCAATGTATATTTCAATTTGCTCTTGAGGCAGAGGGTGTTTATTTCACGTTGTAATTTCTTGATTTGATTTTTGCTTAAATATTTCATCGTCTATTGTAAATCATCCATTTCCGATTTTGACCTAACATTTTTTGTCGAGTTTTAGTTCAGCATTTTGGGCTTTTTTAGACGTTAATTTAATATTATAAATTTTTAGTAATGTTTAACTTTTATTCTGACTACAAACCAATTATTTTATTCCTAAAATAGGATAATTTTTTTTTCCCAGAAATAATCCAATTATTTTATTCCTAAGAAAACCTATTATGCAATTCCTTTATTTTTTAAATAACCCAATTCATTTATTCTTAACATAAACCAATTCTTTCATTCCTGAAAATATATAAATTCTTTTATTTCTAAAATAACCAACGCTTTCTTGCCTGAAAACAACCAAGTTTTTATACCGAAAATAGAGCAATAATTTTATTTCTAAAACAACCTAATTATTTTATTTTTAAATTAACCGAATTCCTTTATACCTAAAATAACCCAATTCTTTTCTTAAATTAACCCCTATTAGTTTATTTTTAGAATAACTCGGTTTTGTTAGACATAATTTGGCTACATTTTATCCTGAAGATTGCACAAAAAGGGTTGGACACAAGCACTTCTCAGGGGTGAAGCCAAATTCTATGATAAAGTAGAAAATGAAGAGCCAAGTCCGTTCCATTTCCTTTTCAGCTTGTTTAGACTCGTTACTACAAAGAAGAAACAAGATGAAAATGGCTCAAATTTCAAACCGAAAAAAATATTTGCTCTGTCAGCTTAGGACTTTTGAAATGTATAAATACTTGACTTCCGCTTTCAAATCGCCGATGAAGGCATGTTAAAATAGGCCGCTAACATTGATCTTTTTCACGCTTTCCCATAATAAAGTAATTTCCGGATCCGCTGACAACGTCAAGAAAGTTAATATCCGAGTATTTCATTCCTATTATCATCTCCCTAGAAACTCTGTCGCCCAAAACTGATCGAGACAAATAATAGTAAGTCGCCTTGGCTTCAGTTCAGCCACCGGATTACGAGGGAAAGTATTAATTCTGTTTTATATGGCTTCGTTAAGTTAATTTCTACCTTGGAGCGGCGATTATCTTTATTTCTTTCTTTATTTCAATCATTCTTTCTTTTTCCTTTCTTTCTTTTTTCTTTCAATCATTCTTTCTTTTTCTTTCTTTCTTTCTTTCTTTTTTTCTTTCTTTTTTTCTTTCTTTCTTTCAATCATTCTTTCTTTCTTTATTTATTTATTTCAATCATTCTTTCTTTCAATTATTATTTTTTCTTTCAACCATTTTTTTCTTTCTTTCAAACATGCTTTCTTTCTTTATTTCAATCATTCTTTCTTTTTCCTTTCTTTCTTTTTTCTTTCAATCATTCTTTCTTTTTCTTTCTTTCTTTCTTTCTTTTTTTCTTTCTTTCTTTCAATCATTCTTTCTTTCTTTCTTTATTTATTTATTTATTTCAATCATTCTATCCTTCTTTCAATCATTCTTTCTTTTTTTCTTTCTTTCTTTCAATCCTTCTTTCTTTCTTTTTTCTTTCTTTCTTTCAATCCTTCTTTCTTTCTTTTTCTGAAAACAGAATAGTCTTGCATGTTTGTCACGGGCCCCGCTTGATTATCTCGCATTCGTAATTATCATTCTTGTTATTAGTATATTCATTGATTTATTTTGATGTTTCCTTACGATTTGTTTAGCAATGTATCACACACAGCATCAAATAATTTATGGTAAATATTTTTTAATAAAAACAGAAAGGTGAAACTCATATGAATATAAGTATATCCTGACATGTCTACTATATCGATTATTTAATACGAATTTTACTATGAAACATTGACTAGGCATAGTAAAATATGAAACATTGTAATTCTTTTTACTCATTTATTTCTTCTGTCAGTGATTGCATACAAATTGTATATTTTTCCTTGTTTATCAAAGGAAGGCCCATTTCGTTTGAAATTCATCAGGCTATTAAATATGGCCATACTAATTTCTCTTTATGATGTTTACTTAAATGTGTAAGTTTGGCTGGTTTTATATTCTGTATCTTATTATAATTCCGCTTGCTCCTCACTTCCTGAGTTATCACGTGCGCTACGCCCTGCCAATAGCTTATAATTAAGAGACTCTATTCAGTTTTGATCGAGTGGAAAGACAGAAATGACACAGAGACACTACTTGCTTTCAGTAAAAGAAAGAAAGAAAAGACATAAACCCCTTGCCAATACCTCTTAAATAAAGGACTGTTCCGTTCTGATCGCGTGGAAAGACGGAGAAGACATCAAATACGCTGTTCGATTTCAGTGAATAAAAGAAAGAAAGAAAACAAAATTAAAACTGGAAAGCCGTACTTGTTCTGTAACCCTTCATGGCGTTGGCGATCATGGCTCTCCACAATTTCCTATCCTTTGCAGCTATTAATAACTTTTGTCTTTTTGTTATTTTCCCCAAACCCTGCTCTGCCAGTCAATCATTTCAGCTCGCCTGGTATATTATGCTTTGTTTTCCTTTGTCTCTCGTTTACCTTCAATATGTCCTGTGAGTATCAAATTTTACAAAACTTCTTTCCTCATTATGTGCTCCATAAATTTCATCGACCTCTTTCTCGAGGTCAACGAGAAGTGTTCTTTTTGTTGCCATTGTCTCGAGAACTTCATCGTTGCTCACATGTTCGGCCCATGGTATTCTCAGCTTCTTTTTGTAGAACCACATTTCTGTTGTTTCAAGATTCTTCTTAATCTGTGATGAGATTTTCCAGCATTCACTGCCATATATATTAAATAATAGTTCAGTACTCTTTTCTTTGTTTCTAATGATATTTTTCTGTTTCTCAATAACTTGCTTAGCTTTTAGGAGGCATCTTTCGCTATTCCAATGCGCCTTCAGATTTCTATGTTGCACTCTCCGTCTTCTGTTAATACGCCTTCCCAGAGATCTAAATTGTTGCACCTGTTTGATTTATAGTCATTTATGTGTCATGCATGATACATGCTTAGGCGATCATGTATCGAAAGATACATGATCGCCTAAGCGTGTATCATGCATGGAGCAAATTTTTTCCCGCAGAAGTTTACCATTTCTTTCTGCGGTAGACCAGTTGCCATCCAAGTCTATAGAGCCCAGTCCCTCCTGTTATTTACCCATAGCTGGGGGAGAAGAAGAGGATTCATACATTTCCTAAGGTTATTAGCACGTAAGTGAATGTAAAGGATTCGACTGGAATTCGAACTCGGCTCTCCGATTCTTCAATCTGAGTCGCTATCCATTATTTCACCGGAGTTCTTAATATCCTTAATCTTTTCGCTTTGTTTACACTCCCGATAGCAACTTCTTCAAATATTTTCTCATTGGATAATTCGTCTTTCTTAATGATTAATGTTTTAATTTTCTCAAATCTCTTTATTACATTCTTAAAGTCAGTTTTATTTCTCGTTCTCTTCTTGCCAATATTTTCAGTTTCGTTTTTTTATCATGTGATCTCTGTTCAAATTTTTCGTAATATCCAAATTTTTGTTCACATCACTCAGTAATTTTGCAATATAATTTTTCTCTTCTGAGGTTTGAGCATCCTTACGAGTCATAGCAATTTTAATATAACAGATATAAATAACTAAATTATTATATATATTTATATAGGATATGATATTTATATAAGGGGTGGGGGGAAAATGAGCTGACACATTTGTAGGTTGAATAAAAGCGAATCAGAGTAAAGAATGAAAAAATCGTGTTTTTGTTTTCGAAATGTGCGTATAATGCCATTTTATTTGATTTCGTTTTAAAAATTTAATCAGTCAAATGGGTGCCGTTACTTTCCATATACATTGTCGAAGGCGTTCAGGAAAGTTGTCCATAACACGACGGGTCATTTCATGTGGAATGGAAACAATTTCTTGACGAATAGCATCTTTTAATTGTTCAATAGATTGAGGGCAATAATGTTGGTAACCCATAACAAAATCGTATTTCGAGTAGATACGGTGTCATGACTACAAAGCCTGAAGTGCACACGGAACGCTGTTTGTGTTGCAGTTACCGATTCGTTGTTGTTGATAAACATTTCAACAATGAAAGCGCAATTCTCACCCATTGAATTCATGTTGGCAACTGAAAAACGAAAAAAAAAATAGCATTATACTTACATTTCGAAAATAAAAATACATTTTTCGTTCTTTATTTTATTTTTAAGCCTAGAAATGTGTCAGATTATTTTGCCGCACCTTGTAGAATACGATGAGCAAACATTGTTGCTTAATTAAATCTCGCACCACTAAAATAAGTTATTGCAAAAAAATTACGAATTAAAATTCATTTACACTATTAGCATTGTTCGGATTGTTGTCCTCATCTTTAGTGTCATATTCACGACATTTCTACCGTTGTACACTCCGATCTGATATATGTTGAAATTTCGAACCGAACCTTTTATTGCCTCAAAGGACCATTATAGCCCACTGGATAAAAACGTTGATTAAAGTAATCCAGTGACTTGACCCAAAACGTTGTGAGTTCAATACCTGGCAACAGCAGAGGTGAACAAAAACTTGGGGAATTAAATTACTAAAGGGAAATAACTGAAACTGAGGTATCTAGGTAATGCATGGCACGTGAAACTAGAACAATCTACACCCATTGGACGAAATAAAGGGTTCAGGACAAATATTAAAAATTCGGTAAAAATAGTTACAATATCTCATCATAGAAATATAAGCAGATATTAAAATTCATATTGCATATTTATTATATACATATATCCAGAATAGTTTACCAGTTCGTTAATGCAAATTTTAATACGAAAACACTGACTTGCATAATAAAATCTGTTCATATGAAATTATTTCGGCACATGTCCAAAACAGTTGATTGAAGGCTGGAAGATTGTTCCGCTTCAAGTAAAGAGGGCTTGTCTACATTGAAAATCAGCATTTAAGTTCCTGGGCTTTTAACTGGGATCGAACACCAGCCAACTATTCCTAACTGGAAGACCACAACTATCTCGACACGGACATGACAATATTTAAGCAGCTAAACAATGAAGTACCCGAACCCTGGCATGAATTACCTTTACAGGTGTTAGATTAGACCAAAAATGAATTATTACTGTCGTATCTAGATAGGGTCTGCTCAGTTTTCACTTTCCAGCCTTGATAGGGTTGAAAATCATCTACACGTTCTTGTGGAGGGAAGACTTATTCCCAACTCCGTAGAAGCTTTTTAATAAATGCAATGTTGCAAGCCTGGTGGTAATTCATCGTTATTTTCATGTCAAATGTTCAGATGATCACCATTGTTTTATTATCACCAGTTCAGTGCGGCATGCTTCTTCCGAGGGGGGGGGATGAGAAACCTCTCTTTCTAATCCACGTAGGCGTGACTGACACTTTAAAATTGACCCTGTATCAGATTCTGTTCGTATTTATCCACACGCCCACTTGAACAGGATGTGACACAAAGTTCAAGTTTAGAGAGAAAAATTTCCCATATCCCCTCGACACTTCCTGTTTTATTGGCGACCAGGCGCCAGTTAATGATCTTGGCGCCCTCCTGAAGGAGAGGTATTGCTTGGGAAAACGGGCCCCTGTGGCATGATTATATAATATTCATCCGACCATGTGGGGCAGGTAAATAAGTTTTCACATTGACAATTAGTTACATTTATATATATATATATATATATATATATATATATATATATATATATATATATATATATATATATATAAAGATAATCACTTCATTAGAGCTGGATTTGCGAGATTCTGAAAGTGAGAGATTTGCTAGTTTGTTTCAACGTGGAATGATGTAGCATCAAGTAAGATCGAAAGTTTAGGATTATTCATTTAGGCGACGATCATAAAATTTGGCATTGTTTAAGGTAGTATTAAATATTTTAAATATTAACACAAATTTAAAATGACTTCCCCGGTAGTGAGAGGTAGTATGTTTGATTTAAAAAAAAAAAGATATGTCATTTATAAACCGTTCTACATATGGCATATATTGCATTTGATGCATTTATACTTGAACAAGAATTATTGCGTTCCTAAAAATGCCAGGATTGAGCTTTTATAAATATTTTCCTACTTTAAAATGAATTATAAGGAGTTTCTGAATTATTTCAAGCGATATGTGCGAGCGCTTATACTAGAAGAATCTAATAAAATTAAATACACAAATATTATCAGTCAATATCAATAAACGATGTTGTAATATATATATATATATATATATATATATATATATATATATATATATATATATATATATATAAAATACAAACCAAAACCGTTGATAGAAACAACAGACAACATACCAAACTTAAAACTATTATCCAGATAAAGTCTCGAAACTCCACCTCAAAACAACAACAATACTGATAAAAGAAACAGGAAAAAGGCCCAAAAGCAAACTTACCTACGCAGATTGCTTAGACTGAGCAACAAACGCTTAACAGCTTTAAAGGGCTGAAACAATGGCTCTAGTCGTAACCCGAGTTTTCATACGATCTTCAGATGACTTGAACGTGAGACTCGGGTTACGATTAGAGATATTCTTTCATAGAATTTAACGTTATATATATATAT